TTTGTTTTCCAGTCTTGTTTTCTCCATCGTGTGAGTCGAGAGCATCTGCCGTTGGCTCCAACCATTTACTGTCAATCCATTCGCCATTTTCGAAGTTGCCAATAATTTGCCCTTTTTTTAGTACTAACGGTTGATTATCTGTTTGTCACCGGTATTTCCGTCTCTCCTTTGGCTGACGTTTGACAGATTCCATCTGGCATCTGAGAGGAGTTTGAGCAGAATATGCGTGCAGAGCTGTCCTCCAGATAAGATACAGTTACCACTCTGCTTGGTCCAGATGGTATGTTCGTACGTTTTTCACTACAGCTGGAAACGACTGTGTACTGTCTTGTTTACTGGCTAAGTCGAAAGTGGTGTCACTGTTGACCACTTTGAAGCCAAACTTGTCAAGTGCATTTGTTCCCAAGGTCAGCATATCCTCAAGCGACCTGCTTACAAAAAGGGAGATGTTCTCAGTCTTACCACAAACGTCTATGGGGATTTTTATTGCGCCCAAGATTACCATTTTTCTCCAGAAGCAGTGTGTATCGTGACGTCAGTCTTTCTGGAACCCTTTCTATGTAAGCGTCGACGATTATTCTTGCATCCTTTGCATTTTTAAAAACTTGCAGTGGAGCTATGGACGTCTCCGAACCCGTATCAATGAGTGCTCTAATCTCCATTTTCATTAACGTTGCAGGTACTAACAATTTTGTACCGAAGAATTCTCCTGCCTTTTGTTTGGCATCTGTGCTGGCACACAACCGTCAAGAACAGTTGAAAAGAGCGCCGCCTCTTTTTCTCCACCTTGCTTAGAAGTATCGCTTTTGGTGATGTGCAACGTGCACTGCTTGGCTTTATGTCCCACTTTTCCACAGTTGAAGCACTGTCCGGGAGCATCTGCGGAGTTTAGTGACTTTTTTATGCCTCTTTCTTCCAGAGGTGTTTTATTTCCTTTCAGCGACCGTCTTTTCCGTTTTCACCCACTGTCTTGGTGTTGATCGGGCGTCCACGCGCAGCCCCTTTTGGTGTACACCTCTGTCCGGTTTTTCTTCCTTTCGGCATAGATTTCTTTCTAACCTTAAAGCTGCATCCTTGACGTTATCGTACACTGTATCCTTAGGACTTTTTTCGAGCGCCTCTGCCAAAATGTGGCTGCTTTCCCACTTAGTTAGCTGCGAGTATAGGATCTCTGCTTTCAGGAGTGAGAAAGACCTCCATTCCTCCACCAGGAAACGCCTGGGTGGCTGCTCTCTCCAGTACAAAGCAGAAATCACTGCCTGATTGGTTGTCCCGTATTTTGAGACTTCTCAGCATTGCTAAGGCTTTTACACATGAAGTGTTGCCCCCTCCCGTTAAGCGTTCCGCCATTGCGTGGACAACACCGTCAAAAGAGCCCTCTTTTACACTTTGCGGCTATGTTTCGTATAAATTCAAAGCTTCCCTTCTTAGAAAAGTCTTAAAAAGTTGGATCAAGATTTGATCATCTTAGAGCTTTTTTGGGTATTTTATCGAAAATGCCTCCACAAAACTTTTGAAACTCGGTTGGTTTACCATGGAACGGTCGAACATCGGGTACTGTATTCGCTAGCATGAAATCTTTCATGGTAAACTCAACAGCAGAGTTGCTTTTTGCTTTATTTTGAAGAAGCGTCCTAAGTATGCGTACCTGTGGCCAATTGACGTGGATTTCCGTTGTCGGATTCTGGCCTGAGCGTACGCCAGTAGAGTTTCGGGGTCCATTGACTCGAGGTACATGTCTGAGGCTGTGTTCGGTCCTGTACTAAAACTCCAGTATCCTCATTTACAGTTGTAAATCTTATATATAAAGCTGAATGTCTGTTTGTATGTCTGTATGTCTGTATGTACGTATACACGATTCATGATACGCAAAGACTGGACGCCGTTGCGTCCGACCAAGATAGTTCGTGCATGGAAGAGACAGCAGATGGTAACAGAGACGAAAGAGCGCTTGGTCGGAGAGACGCCGATATGTCCGCAGTCTTTGCGTGCAATGAATCGCCTATATGTTCCGAATAGAAATTTTTATTTCTGAACCGATCCGGACCAAATTTGGCACACATACACTTCGTGCCCCGGCGGGTGTCATAGGCTACTTTTCGTCATCGATCGACATCGATTTTATCGATTTTCATCGATTTTTTTGCAAAGTTCATCTACGGGGCTGGGAGTTGGCACAGGGGGTTAATCGAGCATGCTGATTACGATTACAATATTAGTTTCCAGAACTATCGATTACTTTTATCGATTTCATCGATTTTTTTGTAAAGTTTGACCTGCGGAGCTGGGAGTTTGCACAGGGGGGGGTAATCGAGCATGCTGATTACGAATACAATATTAATTCTTAGAATTATCGATTATTTTTATCGTTATCGATTTTTTTGTAAAGTTTGGTTTGCGGGGCTGGGAGTTTGCACAGGGGGGTAATCGAGCATGCTGATTACGAATACAATATTAATTTTTAGAATTATCTATTATTTTTATCGTTATCGATTTTTTTGTAAAGTTTGGTTTGCGGGGCTGGGAGTTTGCACAGGGGGGTAATCGAGCATGCTGATTACGAATACAATATTAGTTTCCAGAACTATCGATTACTTTTATCGATTTTATCGATTTTTTTGTAAAGTTTGACCTGCGGAGCTGGGAGTTTGCACAGGGGGGGGGGTAATCGAGCATGCTGATTACGAATACAATATTAATTCTTAGAATTATCGATTATTTTTATCGTTATCGATTTTTTTGTAAAGTTTGGTTTGCGGGGCTGGGAGTTTGCACAGGGGGGTAATCGAGCATGCTGATTACGAATACAATATTAATTTTTAGAATTATCGATTATTTTTATCGTTATCGATTTTTTTGTAAAATTTGGTTTGCGGGGCTGGGAGTTTGCACAGGGGGGTAATCGAGCATGCTGATTACCTCAAACTTCGTGTATAAGGGTTATGTTACATGCTGACTACAGATATCACACTTTCTCCGCAGAACGTCTCCCCGTGTGGTTACGATGGGTGTACGGTAGGAAGCCAAAACCATGAATTACGCTGGAGTTCGGTCCAGAGAACTTATTCGGCATGCTGATTACGAATTTTATACTCTCCTCTGCATATTGGGACCTTTCATAGAGTTATGGTGGTTATACGGTATGGGATCGAACATAGATTTGCTTTAAACTTCGTCTAAAGTGGTCATTTAGCGCGCTGAACGTGAATATCATGCTGATTTCGCAGGATAGTGCATTTTCTTGGGTTACGGTGGGTGTACAGTAGATGGGTCGAAGTTCCAGATTTGCTCAAAACCTTACTTGTAACGGTTCACAAGCATACTGCTTTGAATATGATGCTTGCTCGCTGTCATAACGCGCTATTGTGAAGTTATGGTGAGTTGCAGGGCTTGAATGGACATTTTTTCGCTTTCGAGCCAATTTAGATCCCTGATATTCAAAATGGGGAAACGGTCGTTTTGCACGGGGCGGCCTCCAGCGCCATCCTGATAACTTGTCCCAACGTTAACGCACGCGGCATATCTCCCTCCCCTGTTTTTGCTTAGGCATAAGCCGCCGAAGGGTGTATCGCGCGCGGCAGTGGTCCTATAAAGAAAGCATTACGGTCATGGGGAACTTTTATACCATACGAATTGCCTTTATCGTGGGGACTAAGCACGATATTCTTGAAACCGCATTTCAGGTAATTCCCTGCCATTCAGGCAGGTTCATGATTTTTACCCGCTGCCACGCGAAATGACTACGATATTCGTCATCAGCGGCTTGAATAACCCCCAAATACCGAGTTTGAGCAAGACCCACCACAAAAATATTTTAGAGCCTGGACAGCCGAATACCATCCACTTTTTATAATCCCTATTTTCATCGATTTTGTTGGTTTTTTTTTTGCAAAGTTTGAGCTACGGGGCTGGAGGGCTGGTGAGGAAGGTAGGTGAGCATACTGATCACTAACACAGCGGGAATAGGAAATTGCATGTAGAAGTGGGCACAGGTAAAGGTGTACAGGGATAGAAGTGGAACTTATCGTTTTTGACAGGGCCGGACGGAGCCGGGTATGCCAGCTAGTGTTGCATATTTGCTGTGGACCGTTGTCACGTCAGCATTACCTGATGCATCCGTTTCACCATCGGAGTCATCTGACGCATCGGTCTGCATGACGTATGTGCGTACTTTAGCAAACTTCTTTACTTTCTCTGTGAGGTGCTGGACCTGCAATTTTAAGCTTTCGACGCGTTCCATTGCCTCGTCCATTTGTTTCTGTAACTTGTTGCCTCATCCGCTACTCTAATAACTTCATTTTGCAGATGTTTCTCATCGCTCACCGTAACGTCCCTAGCGCCTACTGCACTATTAATAATTTCCTTGATTTCGTTTTCAACAACTTGCGCTTGTTGATCTATTTTTGCTACTATCGCGTCTCTACGCTTGTCGCCTGCGTGAAAGTATGCGCTTAGCTCCTTTTCGCACTCTATTTTTAGCTGAGTTAGGCTTTGGTGAATCTCTTTACTTTTGTCTTGCAAATCGGAGCATTGCATTCTTACCCCTTTTTTCATTTGCTTGCCTTCGCCGACTTGCTCGTTCGATCCAACAGCTGAATTCGGCATTTTTATCTGCAATGAACAACAGGCGATTAGTATAAACGCTTCAGCAATTACGTTAAACGACGCGAAATTGCGGATAATCACAATGACGATATTAACTTGTTCGGATTGCTAGTATTTTTGTAGTTACTATGATGTTACAGTAACTTTTACTTGTTTTTTGCGTGCGTGCGCTATCTAGTTCACACGAATCAATATTGATCTGCAGAGTAGCACAGTGTATTGAATGTTCAGTCAATCGAAATCGAGACTAGCACAATTTCGGGATCTTGGTGATTTTTTTAGCTGATAAAAATTTGTAGTAGGCATCAGAATTTATACCAGTACACATAAATGCGAGACATCAAGTGGAACTGCGGAGAGGGCGCGTTCAGTATGGTTCCACCAGCAATGAGAGCTTAACTGGATAGAAGATAATAAATGAGCGCAACAGCGATGGCGATTAGACCAGGGTAGATCAACGCCTCCAGGGGGTTCGGTGATGTCCTTTGCTGGTTGTCAGTAGGGCTCGTGGTCCACGTCTTTTTATCGTACGAGTATGTTTGATGGTCTTCCTTTACGAGATCTCCTATATAGTAATCCTCCCTCATTAGGCGAGCATCTGTAGAGTGACCGACATCTTCGAATGCTTCAGTAGCATCTCCACCAGCTTGCTCTAATACCTCACAGCCTCCTGGATGCTCATCAAGAAACTTTGTGACGTCATAGACTTTGTTGCCGACTACGAACCATACCGATTTATTGTTATTATGCTGCGAAACCTCTTTTCTGGTCAGTTCCGGAGCCATCGCCCCTCAAACTTGGGTAATCAAACCCAAGTTCAAAGGTAATTAAGATTTATTCTCTCGAGGTTTTATTGCAGGGTACAACTGCTGCTTTTGCGAATGACAAAACGCGATTATTAATGCTCCAGAAGTTATATGGGCAAATCTTTAATCGCGCTTTATCACTCACTTCGTTATGGGGATCACTGATGCACCGACGTTTAGTTCGGAAGGTTCTAAGACGCTTCCTTATTTACTTCGTAATCTGAGCGGGGCACAGCTGCCGTTTTTCTACTTCAATTGCGGGGATCACTGATGCCTCAACCTTTAGTTCGGAGGGTTCCAAGACGCTTCCGATCCAGCGAGCGCTTCGGCCACCAAGTTGTTAGCGGATAGCCTAGATAATTCGCGGATGGTACCGCGTTCAGCTCACTGGACAATAAAGAGACTGACCCTTCACCGGTGCAACCAACAACAAAAACAATACTGAGCAATAAACAAAAAAAAACTCAACGCAAACCCTACACAAGGACTGAACAAAGACTAAGGAAATCACTGAGCAAAAACGGGCGGAGATTATGAAGTTCAAAAGGTTTGGCGCGCGTTTCGCAGCGCCCATGGATCTTTTATAGAAGAATACATCAACCCTTAAAATAGGGACCTACCATCGACACTAAGACTTGAAAAGAGATCCACTTTAAGTAACATCAGAAACAAAACAAAACAGAACAGTACCTAGCGGCTTACTTAAAAAACTCCGCGAAGCTAATCCCTTAGCCTGCCCAAGAAAATTAAAGCTACCGTATCCCAAAAAATAACAACAACGGTTACACTAGAACTTACGGGCAGTGCATTACGACGTACACCCAGAGTGCCAACTCGGAGTTCAGTGAGGTGATTAGATTTATGTGGTAAGAATTTTAAGATGTTGAGCTGTTGACTACCATGTCTTACCTCTAAATAAATGCCAAATGAGTCAAAACTCTTATACTGGGCTACTAGAGTCGCTGATTTGAAATAAGAGATGTGCGCTACACAGTATTTCATAAATTACGTCGAATATACAACAACAACGTTGTTCGATGTCTACAAGAATGTAACTAACAAAGGAATGGTCAGAAGTCAAAGTGGCCAATTCAAACAGGCTGCGTTTCACGAAGGCGTTTAACAGATACGGGTGACAGATTTGAAGTTAGCATTGTATACTGCGTCGAATGGTGAGCAGGTTGCTCGAATTGGCCACTTCCACTAGTCGACTTCGACCATCCCTTGTAAGCTGAATAGCTCATGCTTCCCAACTTCTAGAATTTTTTTTTGGTTTTTATCAAACGGCGTAATTTGCAATAGCGTCATATGCCACCCTGACTCATATACACATCGTTTCTATCTAGTCGTCATTATCTGGTTTTGCTGGAAGTTTAGACATTTTACCAGTAGCCATTATTCTTTAGTGTTCTCTGTCTTATCTAGATTGATTTCGAAAGTTAAGCACGTTGCCAGTCCTTTTGGCTGAATATCTGTGGTGTAATCTTTCTCCAGATCTTTTATGCGCTCAATCCTCTCATATTTTTCTTGAAATATGCTTTAATCATGTCTCACTGCGCTTCACGTCATTGGCGCAATTCATCATTTATGAGAGTCAGAGCACGCGCTCTCTTAGAAACAGTGGTTAAGGACCGCAGGTGTCTAACATAGGGTGCAGGCGGCTAGCGGCGATTGCCGATTCAAAGGTTTAAAGAAACGCTTCCATAAAGAACGCCAAATAACACAAAATGATGCCACATTTGCGACCCTTGGTCTTCACTGAATCACATAATCAACAGCAGTGCCAAAGTATAGGCCCTTCATCGCGGCGAGGAGCTCGATTGCGGTCTTCGCGCCCGTCCTAACGTTAGTCTATCTAAAACCATTCAAACGAAAAAATTTCATTTAATAAGCGAAGGATACTTGGTCGACGCGGCGTTTGCATATATCGTATACTGTTTAATGGCGCGAGGAACTTTCAAACCTGCTTTTGGCACCTGCAAAGCGCTTCTGGATGGGGAATTACGGGAATATCTTGAGTTAAAAGTACAAGGTCTGGCTAAGGTGAAAACGGGTTGAAGTCTGCCCAGTGCTTAAAAGGAGTAATGTTTAGCATGATTTCGTTAGACTGAAGGTGTTGATTGCATAAAGCGCCGTGTGATTATGGCTCCATTTGAGGCCACAGACTACAGATTTGAATGATTCTACTGCAACGTCGTGTTTACATTTTTGCCTCAGAAAATTCCCATAACTCCCCTCCTAAAAGAGCTTTGCAGATATCGAAGGCAGATTCGAAATCAGCATTACATGCTCAATAAGTATACAATTCATACGGGAAAGCCTATTTGACCAAGTATCCTTCCCTTATAATAGCTACCATTTGCGTGCAATAAAATGACTTGAGTAGAGAAGAAAGCAAAGGGAATGTGGTTGCTGGAACTGCGCACGCGACCGCTGGTGTCACAATTTTATGAGTGGCCTATACCTACTGCCCAATGAACTCGAGGGCAAATATAGTGTTGTCTACAACAATTGTGCATGAAAAATGACGGTGTGGGAAGGTGTGCAGGACCCTTCAAGGGCTCGCCTTCTTCCCGGGCGCCCCTTTCGAAGCATTATCTACTTCGCGCCTACCTTGCACTTATGTCCTGGGTCAAGCATGGGGTGTGACATGCCACACCTGGGGGTCGTATCGAGGGGTCAGGGAGAGGGAGGGGGCGTTATCAAGGTGATTCTGATGTTAGCGATAGCATGATATTCGTCAACCTCTGAATTAAGGAATTAACAGCTATCCAAAGTCTTGTTTGCTTCATTTTTCGCTCTCAATATTTCAGAATAGAGAAGACTAATCAGGCTCGGATCACTTTAGTATATGTTACGGGGCTTAGACTATCGAAAATATTATATATACAATGTATAATTTACAATACACATTCTTGTCGCCTTCCCTCGCGATTCACATAGTAGCGTAGACTTAGCATATTACGTAACCCAAAATTTGCGCATTATTTTCCATTTGCGTAGGTAAGAAAAAAGATTATATCTTTCCCTAGAAGAAATTCTAAATGAAACTCCTGCTGCTTAGAGAAGAAGGTTGAGCAGTAGCAACAATATGAAAAATGCAAGTATTTGAATGGTTTTGAGGAAGTTAATGTGATGTGGCACAATCCCTAAAAGGTGTGGCAGCCACAGCTTTTGGGGTTGTGCCACACCCTATTGACTTACCTTCAAAGAGAATATTAGGGAACAAATTATATACATTTCGGTAGCCAAAATCTCGTAGTTTTTGTTGAAGTGAGTAGAGCTGTATTCGTCTTCTTTTGTTTGAGCAATAGTTGCTGGAAGCACAACCACTGCGAGTTGATAATGGGGCAAACGAGATTTTGGCTGGCTCCTAATTCCAAGGTTTTATTATTTAACGCTGGATTCATGGTATGGGCAAATATGGAATAGTGCTTTGTATTGGGTACAAGAAGAGGTAGCTAATTCTTTTGAAATTTATTAAACCATGTTTGAAAATGGCCACTTCATTGGATGACTATATTGAGAACCCTCAGACTTCGCTACAACTTAGCCCACAAGGGGTATTTGACATGATAGTTACGAATATGTTACTAGTTATGCTTGGTAGAGCCTCTACGTCATGCCTACGGCAAGCAAACGAAAATTTTGGTGGTGGGGGGGGGGGGGTCGTATCCGGGTTGTGTGCCATACATCTCGCTAGACCTTGCTTATGTCGCACATACCTCGCACAGTTCTGCGTTAGTACTCATGCGGATGATCCAGCTGTGTCTTGCGTAATCGGCTTTTTTTTTGAAAGCGCTTCAAGATTTGTCAATAATAATCAAACAACCATTCATGAATCTTATATATAAAGCCGAATGTCTGTTTGTATGTCTGTATGTACGTATGTTCAGAATAGAAAATTCCATTTCTGAACCGATCGGGACCAAACTTAGCACACATACACTTCGGGCCCCGGCGGGTGTCATAGGCTACTTTTCGTATCGATCGATATCGATTTTATCGATTTTTTGCAAAATTTGAGCTACGGGGTTGGGAGTTGGCACAGGGGGGTAATCGAGCATGCTGATCATCCCCGTGGGGGTGATCAGCATGCTCGATTACACCCCTCTGCCAAATTTCAGCCCCCTAGCTCAAATTTTGCAAAAAATCGATAAAATCGACATCGATCGATAACGAAAAGTGGACTGTGACACCCGCCGGGGCCCGAAGTGTATGTGTGCCAAGTTGGTCCGGATCGGTTAAGAAATGGACTTTTTATTCGGAACATACGGCGGAGCCGGGTAAGCCAGTTAGTGAACAATAAGCGAACTGACGAGGAAATTACTTTTAGTCTGCCGTTGAAGGCAGCGGCATGATGACAACTTTGAAATATTCATCGTTCTTGGTTCTCCTAGATGAGCTAAGTCCGAGACTGTGCTTTGCAACTTTGAAAGTAATCAATAACTCGCTTCTCCAAACGTGAAAAGTGCTATTTGGGGGCGGACGGCGTATGCCTGCTCTTTAAATCGCGATTGGCTCGTAAGTGGAGACACCGTACCCATCTCGGCGGCAACTGAGTTATTAGCCTTAGCAGCCACTTTCGCAATCCGCCCAAACAGCACTTTACGTTTGGAAAAGCGGGTTATTGATACTTTTTGAAGCTGCAAAGCACAGTTTCAGACTTAGCTCATTCAGGGGAACCGAGAACGATGAACCTAAATACGTTGAATACATATAGCGGCGACTTTGTCCATTCCTATGCAAAATCGAACACAATATCTTAGCAAATGTTCGGATATGAAAGATAATGAAAGACCAACTAGACCAGCGTTTCATGCTTTCATCCACTCCAGCGGCGGACTAAGGGTCTCTCCCCCTTCTGAGAATCGGTCGCAAGATTCTTGTTTGCATGAGCCAAAAACCGTGCGAGAGATTCCTTTCCATTTGAAATTAATCAAATTCAACAAAATTTTGATCAGATCAGTTTTGTAAAAAGATTTTCGGCCTTTTTCTTGAAGTTATGGAAATATGACTCCATAAATCTCCTGTAACCATCCCGGAAAATTTTCGTAGGTCTTCGCCCCCTCTCCTGGAAAATCTCGGATCCGCCACTGCTATCTACTATACTTAGTGGAAAAAGTTATTGAATAGTCGAATGTCGAATAATATTCAAAAGAAACCCGAAATTTTCGATTATCGATTATCGAATGATATATATATATATATATATATATATATATATATATA